GATTGGCACAGGACAGAGCGGAGTTTAGGGCTGTTGTACATAGGGTCGCTATGAGTCGCAGGCGACTCGACGGCACATAACAACAACAACAACAACACAGTCAATAAGAGCTTTCTGATTGAATTAAGACCAGTGCTCCTTATACTGTACTGTATATATGGTATGTTGTTGTTGTGTACCATCAGAACCGTACCATAGCTGACCTTCCAGTGTGTTTTCAGAGCTTGAAATTGCATGGAAGGAGATTGCCCAACTTTCTCCAGTGGAGCAGCTGATTCAAACTGCATGCCTTTGGGATTGCAATGAAGACTCTTACCACTAGGTCATCAGAATTCCCACATACAATATGATGTTGTTGTTGTTGTTGTTGTTGTTGTTGTTGTTGTTGTTGTTGTTGTGGATTGCCTTCAAGTTGAGCATGACTCATCACAACCCTGTGAACAAAAGGCCTAAAACCTTTCTATAACTATTGATATTTCTCAAAATTTATAATTTCCAGAGGCATGTTGATTAGGAAGTGTATGCCACTTCTGCTTCCAAATATGTAAGGTAGAGAAGGTTAACTAATTAGACAGAGTAGTAATTAACAGGAAAACAAATCAAAGAAGGAAACAATCCATTCTTTCTTGGTCCTGGCAGCTATCAAAACATCTTAAAGGGGGAAGGGAAAGTCTTAAGAAGAACTATTAGGAGGGAGAGGGAAAGTAGACCAACTCTTGATGAGAGGGGGTAGGCAATGGCAAAGTTCTAGAAGAGGTCATGCCTCTAGAAATGATTCTATGTCTCATTTTTAAGTATTTAGAGAGAACATTTATCTGATATTTGAATAAAACTTTACAAAGAAAAAAATGAACTAGGTTACTAGCAGAATTAGCTACTGACATAGGGAGGGTCTTCTTTTCTCCATTTTCCATGCTGGAATGTTACAAGGTTTCACAAATTACAAATAAACAATCAGAAGACCTCAAATTTGTTTGAGTCCTAAAACCCAGAAATATGCCAAAATTAGAAAGTGCTCCATGAGAGAGTTTTGGTGGATTAGTAATATATAAATGTCTAAATTATGCATGAGTAGTCTAGAAAACCAAGCCTTGTAAAGAATTTACATGGGCAAACAGATTATCCGGGAGGCTGGGCTCTATTAGGAGAAATGTGAGGTCAAGATTGGTGGACGATTTATCAACAATCTGCGTTATGCGGATGACACAACCCTGCTTGCTGAAACTGAAGAGGACCTGAAGTGTCTGCTGCAGAGTGTCAAAAACTGCAGCCTACAATATGGATTGAGGCTCAATGTCAAGAAGACAAAGATTCTCACCACTGGACCAATCGGCAGCATCAGGATGGATGGTGAAGAGACTGAGATTGTACACAGCTTTAGTTTGCTTGGCGCCATAGTCAACAGTCTTGGCACCAGCAGCCAGGAAATTAAAAGGCGCATTGCCATGGGAAAGTCTGCTGTTAGGGACCTCTCCAAAGTGCTGAAGAGCAGTGGTGTCTCTCTGGAGACTAAGGTGCGTCTGATACAGGCCATGGTCTTCGCAATCACCTGTTATGCATCAGAGAGTTGGACAATGACCAAGGAGGATAGAAGGAGAATTGATGCCTTTGAGCTGTGGTGCTGGAGAAGAGTATTGAGAATACCATGGACTGCTAGGAAAACAAACAGATTTGTCCTGGAAAGGGTTAAACCGGGTGGCTCCTTGGAGGCAAGGATTCTGAGGCTCCGTCTAACATACTTTGGACATGTTGTGAGGAGAGACCGGTCCTTGGAGAGGGACATCATGCTTGGGAAGGTGGAGGGACGGCGCAGGAGAGGAAGGCCCTCTATGAGGTGGATTGATTCAGTGACTGGGATAATTGGGATGGGAGTGTTGGAGACAGTGCGATTGGCACAGGACAGAGCGGAGTTTAGGGCTGTTGTACATAGGGTCGCTATGAGTCGCAGGCGACCCGACAGCACATAACAACAACAAATGGAAAATAAATTTTCTTTGAGTCTACCATAAGCTTTCCCATCTGGGAGGTGTGGATGGTCAGTGAAAGAAAGGAAGACCCTTAACTAGGTCAGGAAGTGTAAGGATGGCTCAGGATAGAGTAGGGGTCAGATCTTATGTTCATAGGGTCACTATGAATCGTACTCAAGTTGAGGGCACCTAAACACAACAATAACAACAGCCACAAGCTTTTAGATTGAAATACAGGTGTATGAAAGACCAAAACATGTCACACAGAATTGGCAATATGATCTAATAACTTGTATGCAGAAGCAGAATTGCCTGACCACTAAATACAGACCTCAAGGGACTTTGCAGATAGCCCATGTCATTGACAAAGACAGTCTAAAGCAGGGGTGGAAGAACAGTGTCATCTTACAGGGCAATTCCAAAACTTGAAAAGTGACTGGCATGAGAAAGATGCTGTGGTGTGGGGAGTTTTTTAAGTTCATTACAGAGGAGGGAGTCTCTGATTTACATGGAAAAAAGAGTGTGACACTTTTGCCAAGCATTTCTCAATTATGGATATAGTTTTGTAAGTGACACAGATTATTATTTTTTTTTTAAGTTACAAGCTGGAAGTCCAGTGTGCTTGAAGAACCTGGCTTACTTTTGTTGCCCATGTGGCCCCAGCCTGTGATATAGCAGTACGTGTCGGGTTCTACCGACTGCTCAGAACTCGGTAAGCAGACAGGTCGGACATAGCTTGTCTCATTGATGTCTTCACTCAGTTCGACTATGCTGATGTCATAGTCCACTACTGCTCGACTATAGCGAGGGTGCAAGATGATGTTCTTCACATAGCGCGTCTGCATGAACGGTGACGGGTGATCCAGATTGTTGATGCCCAGCACCACTTTCCAAATGGCAGGGGCTTCTCTCCTGAAATTACATTTCAAGTGTTATTGGCATCTTCGTACAAATTTCTCTGAAACATTAAAAAGGTATTTTATTTATGTGTGAATTTATTCACTTAAATCACATATTGGCCAATTAATTAGCAAGTAAGCACTTCTGTTGTAGAAAGCCAAACTCATTCATCTTCCCCCCCCCCCTTTAAGATGAAATTTGTTCTCTTTTAAAGCCAGGCAGTTATTTACTTGAATGAAGGAAGTACTCTATGAACAGTGCTCAGGTCTTTCATTAATAGGGTCGCTATGAGTTGTCTACGATTCGATGGCACCTAACAACAATAACAACGACAACATAGATAGAGTTACATTAGCCTAGTGGACAGAAAGTTAAGCTACCAAGCCTAAGGTGGGTGATTTTAATCTGCGACACTCAGGCCTGGTTCATATTGTTTTTCTGTCAAACATTCTTCTAAGTGGTATAGCACCGGTCTGTGTATTGCTGTACAGAGGTAACTCATGGTTGCTGTGATGCTAAACACTGTGACACTAATGTGCCAAATGTAATAATGGTTACCCATGGTGTACAGTGTTTGGTGGAGCTTCCTGATTAAAATAAGCTTGGAAGCAGTAGTGGCATCCACTTCCAATGTGGTTCGCCTCCAGAAACTCTATGAATAGTGCTCAGGTCTTCCGTTCATAGGGTCACTATGAGTTGTTTACAACTCAACAGCACATAACAAGAAGAAGAAGAAGAAGATAAAATTTGTTCTCTTTTAATGCCAAGCAGTTATTTACTTGAATTAGGAAGCAGATAATGAAAAGACCTAGAGGGCAAGAGAGAAATTAAAAGAAGACTAAAAATTCAAAGATAACCAACTACTCCCTGGAAGAAATGCCCAGTTTTAGGGCATGACTACTGGACTGGAGGAAGACTCGTCAACAACCTGAGTTAATGCAAATGACACAGCCTTGCTCGCTGAAACTAAGTACTAATGGAAGCACTTGATGTAGAAAATCAAGTACTTGTAGCCTTCCATATGGATTACATTTCAACATCCTTCCACAGACGTAGTCAATCTGATTCATATGCAACCTGATCAAACTTTTTTGTGTGGAAACATGCAAATTTGAGGTATAGACTATTGTCAGTTTTGTCAACCTTTGAGGCTTAAATTGAGCAGATTCTGATGCTATCATCAAGGAAGAAGTGGGAAGTACTGCATGTCCGTTTGGCCAGAGATTCCTTTGCAATATAGATAGAGGCCAGATGGAACAGCCTCATTAGAGGTGGTGGAAAACCAGTTGTACTGGAACTGCCATCTCAAGTAGCCAGAGCTAAGGACTTTCACTAAGGTTTACTTGAGGATATGAGGCAGATGTCATAAGTCAGGCCTAAAAGAGCTATGTAAGCCTGACATAGAGCATTTCAGCTAAAGGTAAGAATGTCTGTAGACACACCTGAGAAGCTGTTCAACTAAAGAACATCCTATGTCCCACCCGACTTGTAACCTATCACTTCCCTAGTAAACTATGTAACTATGAGTATTGTCTGTGAGATATGTGGCCCTTGAAGCCAATTAAAGAATCCAGTAGTTCAGTGTCAAGAGCCCTGAGAAGAGAGGTTAATGTTACAGTCAATAAAAGTATGTACAAGAATGTGGTGACATATCTGACCTCATAACATCTGTTTTGTGCTGTGGATGACTTGGATGGGAACTCTTTCCCATTTGTGGAATTTAAAGAGGTCAGATCCCTCTGATTCCATGTCACCCACACTCTTCTTTACACTTGAAAATTGATGGAGGGTCATTATGCATCAAAACAATGCGAGAGCAGTTGTTTTTATTTTTTTTACCCTTTTAAAAATAATAAGTAAAATAAAGCATAAACGATCACTATGCAATACAAATAAGGAGCTCTGGAGGCCTAGTGGTAAGAGACTGCACTGCAATCCCGAAGAAACTCAGTTTGAATCCACCAGATGCTCCCCAGGGAAGGATGAGCAGTCTTATCCCTTGTGATTTACAGCCTCTGAAAACCCCTTGGAAGGTCATCTATGAATACGTTCTGATGCGAAGGCACACAACAACAACACATACAAATTCACCTCACAAGGTAGAATACACAGGAGTCAAACTGACCACATATGCAGAAAGAGATGATGGGAAACTCAATATTAGCAGTCAGAACAAGGCCAGAAGCCAACAGTTCAACAAATGAAAAGGTAATTTTTTCATCATTGTTATATGCCATCATGTCATAAATGACTCATAGTTGACCCTCCAGCAGTTTATAGAGGTTGTAGACGACAGAGGAAGAGTTTGCCCATCTTTCTGCCACGGAGCATATGGTGAATTCAAATCACTGCCTTTGGGGTTGACAGCACAATTTGTTATCATCAGAGCTCCCTAACACGTAATATTAGTGCTATTAAAATGGGAATTTACATGTAAATACATAATAAGCACTCATTGCAATTCAGACCATTCCAACTCAATGACCCTCTATCAGGGTTCTAAGGCTATAAACATTAACAAAAGGAGACTATCAGCCAATGTCCCATGGAGCCACTGGTGGGCACAAATTGCCACATAGTGCTAAGAAGTATTTTTTTTAAAAACAAGCAAAGCACTGTAATAGGGTCATCGAGTTTGTTGGTTGAAGTGAGGGGGTGAAGGAATCAGAAAAGATCCAGTGGGGTTATGAATAGACTGGGTCTAGGCATCTAAGGCTTATCATTCAGATGTCTTTCCTAGTAAACCATTAACTGTTTATTTTGTGCTGAAATAATTATTGTATTAATGTGAAAGGAATAGGATGGGATACAAGCCCTACTCTACTAGAGGCTTATCTAGAACTCATGGGAGCTGATGAGACCTCAGTGCTAGGTGCTTTTTTTTTTTAGAACCACTTGACTAGGACACAGTACCACCATCCTGGCACATCACTTAACAGTTTTTCCAAAACCAGCCTGAATCACTACAATTATGTGAATCTCCAGGAGATCTTCTAGTTAATCCCTGAACCCAAGCATCATTGAGAAATTAGGAAACCGCTGAGAGATGGGTGGAGCTATTAATGATAGATATTATGGACTTGTGGAGCTGGTTAAGTATTTGGGACTATGTTGATCTGAGACCTCTTATAAATACTCTGCTATTAATCTTAGCAGAATGACTTTTAAAAACACAATAGTGGGCATAGATAAATAGTGATTAAATTCTTAATATATAATGTATAGGAATACTCATATGATAAACAATGTGAATGGGGGAGGGCTCTGAAAATAAAAAAGCATGAAAAAATAAGCAAAACATACATGATTCTTACCTACATAAACTTTAGAATTGAGGGCAAACAGTTATTATAAATCCTTTATAAAATCTAGGAGTTTTTCCAGTTAAATAAGACTGCCCCTCAGAAATACACTTTCCTTCTCTTGTTTTCCCTCTTATTTTATTCTCCTTTCCTCCTTTCTTTTTTTGCCACAAATCTCTACCCATCTAAGGTCTTTCTGCATTTGAATCAGAGTTGCTGATTTTGGCCATGAAAAATGCTTATCCATCTGCATAAATCATAAAACAGTATTTCAAATAGTTGGACACTCTAAATGACTTGTAATAACATAAAATCATGTCAAAATTCCAGATTGTATTAACATTTACCTAATTCTAAAGGCTAAAAAAGAAAAGAAACAGTAAGACTTCTGGATATCATGAACTTGCATCTGTTAGTCTCACTCATACTTTGAGTGTGTTGCTTGGAGAGGTTGTTCCTTGCAGAGGGACATCATGCTTGCAACTGTGGAGGGTCAGTGAAACGGAAGAAGACCTTCATTGAGATGGATTGACACAGTAACTATGGCAATGGTTTCAAGTGTGTCAGAGAAGATGAAGATCACATAGTAGAGGACAGAGTTCAGATCTGTTGTTCATAGGTTCACCATAAGTCATATTTAACTAAAGGGCACTTAAAAACAACAATAATTGGTCTCCTGATACATAACCAACTATTCTTATGACATTAATAGCCCCTAAAAGTAAAAACAAGGCAAATATAAATAAAATATATGATATTCATATTCTTTGCATACCAGTGAAGCATTCCTGTTTTGTTTTGTTTTGAGTGTAATACTAAAGAATAAACCAGATAAACATGAACATGATAATCAAAAGGGGAGTCTAAAGTGGATGAGATGCTATAAATTGTACATTGATATGTATTTTTGGGTGTGCATGAGAGAGCAAGTGAGTGTAAGCGAGAGAAAGAAGAAAGGAAGAAAGGAGAAAGGAAACAAAGACAAAAAAATTCTTGTCCCTACACTCACAGTTAAATACATTACTGTCAAGTTTTCTAAATCATAATGCCCCTATGGGATTGAATAGAACTGACATAGGGTTCCAAAGGCTGCACATCATTATATGTGCCTCATAGAATGGAGGGGTGTTTGGAGTGCCAAATTTTAGTTAACAATTAAATGTTTATTAATTGTACATATCACCAGGTTGCCAATATTTTTCTCTAAGATGTCATATTCTACTTGCATACAACTTTTATTATCTGGCTACTTGAATGTCACATTATCAGTTTAAAAGTATCCAGTGAATAGCCTATGTTCACGTGGCTATTTTAGTGAAAGTGTGATGTTGAGTTAAAAATAATAATAATTCTTTAAAGAAAACATAAACAAAACCCACAAACTCACTACTGTCAAGTCAGTTCTCACCAAGAGAAATCCCCTACTGGGTTCCCTTACTGGGTTCCACGATTAAAGGAGACTTCTTATATATTTCTCCTGAAGGGTAGCTGAAGGATTTGGATTTCAAGTGCAGCCTTTTGGGTAGCAATACAACTTGGTACAGACTACACCACCAAAGCGCCAGTATTAATAAAAATAATAAGCCACTTGAAAGATCTTTAGGATAAAGGAGACTGCTTTCCACATTACTATTTAAACCCAAAGTGATCTCTAGAAGAGGCTTGGGATTTCTTAAGCTAAAGGGGAACAGATGTTGATCAGCTGCAGTT